TAGCGATGTAATATCATTGTTCAATGAACAGTTTCATCTTCCAGCTTACAAATTATTTTTCCAAATAAAATCACCGTCTTATATCAGTAATTAAAGGGCATGTTTGATTGGGTGGATTAGAGCATCGGATTGGGATTATTAATCCGTGGGCCCAATTATCCTATGTTTGTTTTAACATTGTGGTTTAGGATTATTAATCCAATGGATAATTAATCCAACAAATTTGTAGGATTATTAGTAATGTGGTAGGGGTGGGATTATTAATCCAATGAATATTAATCCAATTGGATAGTGAATACCACACTAATTTAATAGGATTATTAATACTTCACTATTAATCTTGTGAATCAAACATGACCAAAGTTCACTAGCATCACTGCATGGTTGATCCACTGTTTTCAATATAAAAAATAAAAGAAGATGTTTTCTGTGCCTTTTCAGCTGGGGTTGCCCTTCTTTGGATTTCTTTTCTATTTTCTTGTTTCGGTTGGATCCTCTCCAACTTGGTAATGTACTAATATATGATTATGCTTGCTTGACAGTGCCAACTTAGTTGAGATTGTCTTGTGCAGCTATGGTACTCTTTGCACTCACCCCCCTTATCTTTTTTTGATGTATTTCTTCCTTGTTTGTTGGTTTATATCCATAAAGATTTTATTTTTTTGCTAATCAAAAAAAAAAAAAAAAGTACACTATTATGCTTTTGTGATGTATACTGCTCTGTAAAACACTGCATACACATTCTTAGAAATCTGATTGTATATTATGAACTATCAAAATATATATAGATATAGATATATATTTAAAGAGGAGTGAATAGAAAGAACTTGGATTCAACATAAACTCTGTCTAAGATTTTGATACAAAGTTCAAAAAATTTCAATTTAAATTCCTTGGTTTCTTCTTACCATAATTTTGTTGCTTGGTTTCAAAATAATTGAACTTTAACCTAGCATAATTAAATAGAATTGAGAATCTTTGACAGCCACGGATCAAGAAAAATTCTCATTTGAAAACAGTAAAACGCCACGTGCTATAACGCTACACAGCTAGTGTTTATTGAAAAAAACACTAAATAATTAATCAAACAAGGTAATAAATCAATAATTAATCAAAGGATGAATTACACTAATAGTCCATATAGTTTGAGACTTGTGTCACTTTGGTCCTTGACTTTTCAATTGTGACATATTTGTTCATGAATTTTGAATCTTGTTTCAAATTAGAACAATTGAAGATATCATTAGATTTTTCAAGGGTAAAATCGTCAATTTGATAAAATATAAACTAATTTGACAAAAATAAATGTCAAACAAATATTTTTGAATTTTTAAAAATTATTTATATCCACTAAAAATTAAATTATGTAAAATTGATAAATCTTTTAGACATTTATTTATTTTTTTTTACCAAAATAATTTTTATTATGTGTTTGGATGATGATCATGTAAAATTATTTTTTTAAAATTAATCATGTAATTTTTATTAATTTTTATCAATTTTACATAATTTTATCATTGGTGGATAAAAATAATTTTTTGACATTTATTTTTGTCAAATTAGTTTATATTTTATTAAATTGACGATTTTGCTCTTGAAATTAAACAATGGTATCTTCAATTGTCCTTATTTGGAACAAGATTCAAAATTCAGCGTCAAATGTATCACAATTAAAAAGTCAAGGACCAAAGTGACACGAGTTCCAAACTATAGGGACTGTTAGTGTAATTTGCCCTTAATCAAAAGTAGCCTAATCATCAATAAATAATCAAAAGGAGCCTAATACCAATTTTCCACCCCCAAGAATAAGGCCAAGTTTGGCAACACCAAAATAATCTATCTTTTTATCTTTTTTTCATCACATCACTTTTCTACTTTTCTGCACATCTTTTTATAAAAAGACAAAAAATATACTTATTTAGGTCATCCCAAATAACCCCTAAGATACCTACAACATAATCCTTCCCATTTTCATAGCGCCGCAAACTCTGTTGTGGAAAAAACATAATTCTTGGAACATTCTTTGAATGAAAATAAAATGCTTTATCTATAAATAAAATAAAAAAAATGAAATACTCGTATAAAATAAAATGCTTTAGTAGCTATACCTGTCAGATTTCCAATGGGACATGAATGTCTAATACGTTGCATGGCATCGAGTCAAAAGATGCCCTCTTATATGCCATGCTATATTATGCGTTCGGTTGTTTCTATACATGAAATTAAGAAGGAAAAAAAAAAAAAGACTTGTCAAAATAAAACATTCATATACACGAGTTGAGGAGACAAAAAAGAATGCCAATGGACATGAATATTCTTCAAGTGGGGCCTTTGAATTATTGCAAAAAAGGAATTGAAAAGAAAAGAGGAAGAAGAATAGAATTTGACAACGGATGTGCATTAAGAAGAGGAATCGATTCCAGTATGGAGAACTTCACTTGTTTTGATCTCTAGCTTTAAAACCTGAGCCATGCGCACCGGAACTACATGAGGCCTGCTTAGGAGGGAAGGTGTTATGTGCAAGTTGTCGACATGGAATCCACAATTTTGCATTGTGAACATTGCGTGTTTTTGTGTCCATGTCATCTTCGCAGATGGAGGTGTCATCTTGTGAGTTGGAGATGGGGTAGATGAGAAAAAAAAAATCTTTGCAACCAGCTTTCAAATAACAACTCCCCCTCATAACACCTTGCTAGAAATGGATAGAGGAAAGAGAATAAATTTTTGAAAGCCTTTTCTTTCAAATAATGCATGGGGAATCATATAAAGAGGGGTGTTATTGGAATTTTGTATGGAAAAAAAGTGGTAGTCCTATGGAACTTCTCTTTGCACCCTCCTAAATTCTTTTAGTTCACACCATTACTTAGTTCAAATACACAATTTTAATTTTTTTTACTCTGTTCATTTCATCTAATCCTCAATTCCGAACCTAAACCATAACTCCATCCCATTAGTCACCACTGTTGCTCTCCGTAGAATATCGCCACCCCTTTCCTAGCCCTCCCCTACCTCTCCTCTAGCCTCCACCTCCCACACCTCCTCCTAGATCTAGGATTTGATCACCACCCTTTGCCTAGCCCTCCGCTACCCCTCCTCTAGCCCTCCACCTCTCACACCTCCTCCTAGATCTAGGATTTGAAGGTGCTTACGAAGGAGTGGAGGGTGGCACTAGCATAGGGGGTGGGAGAGGGTGCTGCAATGGTGGGGTTGCCGTGAAGATGAAGCAAGAGGTTGGGTCATAGTGGTAGGGAGCTAAGGAAAGGGGATCACATTGGCTAGGGTTTTGTAGCAACAAGTTGTGGCAGCCAGTGGTGGTGAGGTTTGGAGAGGTGTGTTATTTATCTTTAAGGGTAATTAGCATTTAAACTCGTGCGATGTACAGGCTAAATAAATAATTAAAAATAATTTTAAAATTAAATAATAACATAAAATTTATTTAAAATGTATATAAAAATAAGTTAGAATGAATTAAATTTTAACCATTTTATTATAATATATATTGTAGTTGTTATGTCATTAATTGTATATTCTACGTTCACAATAAAAATACATGTCATAATTTAATTGGTAAAGATGAAAAAAACAAAATAAATTAAATATATATGATAAAATAAAAATAATTTTTGTTTTATAATTTTTTTAGTTTTACATTCTATGTTAAAGTTTGTCATAAAACTTAAACATACTTTTTAGAAATAAAACAATATATATATATATATATATATATTTGATAAAATCGTTAAAATCCGTCAAAAGACTAATCAACTTACACAAAAATCAATTAATTAAAATTTTTAAATTTTATTTTATTTTAAAATTTAAACTGTTTTCAACTAAAACATGAATAACATTACAATATTAAATGAGAGCATAAGTTTGCTTTATATAAGTGAAACAATTCACTTTTTTCTTCTATTTCTGATGTGGGATTGTATAAAATAAAAATTAACAATTGTTCGGGCGGAAAGTTTTTTTTGAATCAAAACAATATCAATTATTTAATTTTTAATTAGGTCAACCTTTAGTTTATTTCGAATCAAACAAATCTAACAAATATATTTTGATAAAATTGCTAAGATCGCAATTAAACTAGCGAATCAATTAAACAAAAAATGATTCAGCCTAATCGGCTAAGTTAAAAGACCAATCAACTTAAACAAAAATTAATTAATTAAAAATTTTAAATGTTATTTTAATTTTAAAATTTAAACTATCTTGAATTAAAACATGCATAACAACACAATATTAAATAGGAGTATAATGTTCATTTTATATAAGTGAAGAAACTCATTTTTTTCTGCTTTTCCCAATGTGGAATATCGAGATAATTTTTTTCAAATATCATAATAATTAAATTATAATTATATACATGGAAAATAAGTATTTCTCAAATAGAATTCATACAAAATTAGTTATTATAATTAAAATTGAGTTTAGGTAGGACTTTATATGTAAATAAAAAATGCATGTTGATGTGGATTTTTAAAAAAAAGTCTTTAGATTTTGCCAAGTAAGAAAAAAAATTACTTTTAATAATATATGATTTGCTTTACGGATATGCAAAAGAAGAAATTGTGTGAATTAAGAGAATGGTAATTTGCTCAATCTTATCCCACGTGCAAAAAAACTCTTAACCTTTTACAATAGAGCAATCTTTATTATTGTGTCAAGACCCGCCCTCCCATATGTGCTCTATGCATCCACTTAACAATTCGTTACTTCAAAAGCCCTCCCCCACACATACGAATAATACCACCCTCCAAAAAAAAAAAAAATTATAAGTCAGAATTAAGAAGGAAAAAAAAAAGAAGTCAGAACTCTCTAAATCTTTCAAAAAAAAAATTTCACTTTTGGAATCCCATCTAAAAATAAATAAATAAAAAATAAAAAATAAAAAATCTGAATTACTCATAAAACATGAAAAAGGGACATCCAAGGGCCCCACTGCATCTTGAGGCCTTAAAACAAATATGTATATAAACCACCCCAAACCCATCCACCAAACATCACCAATTCCTTCACCTATTTTCCTCTTTGCTACTGATAAATTTGCTGTGCTACTATTTCTTATTTCATTTTCTTCATCTTCTTGAGGTGAGCCTCCCTAATTGTTTTTTCATTTCAGATCATTTCCAAGTTTTTTTTTTTTTTTTTTTTTTTTTTTTTCTATCAATTATATTTTGCCTCTAGTAATTTTAGTAAAAATTTTAATATCTGTAAAAATACTCAATTGCATAACATCAAACAAAGTATGTTTGGTTAAACAATTGAAGTACGGATTAATTATTTTAAACTTGACTATTAGTTAAGATAGGATACATAATCTAACGGATTCGTAGTCTTAACACTATTAGTCATGGGAATGCTAATCCAGTCCGCCCAAACAAACATGGTGTGTTAGACTCTGGAGTAGTTTGTGCATAAATGCACCTTCCTATATCGTAAGGGTGTTAGACTCTGGAGTAGTTTGTGCATAAATGCACCTTCCTATATCGTAAGGACTTTGTCGAGGCAAAACCGTGCAATTTTTAACACATTGCTTTTATCTTCCCGTGCATTTACTAATTAACTTGTTTAGAATAGGCTTCTAATTTTACTTCTGCATAAATGCTAGTAGAACATTTATTCCCGGTGTAAGATTATACTTATAGCTTCAAAGATCAAATTTGATAGCTCTATTTCTTACATATATATATATATATTTTTTTGGTGGGTAATTTCAGATAAAAACAAAATGAGCAGATCGGACGGAGACTGGATGTGTGGTTCATGCCAACACATGAACTTCAAGAAGCGGGACTCGTGCCAACGATGCTCAACTCCCAAGTTTGGAGGCGGGGCTGACATGTCATCGTATGGAATAAACAGGACAGAAGTCTTGGCAGGGGACTGGTACTGCCATGCCATGAACTGTGGGGCCCACAACTACGCAAGCCGGACAAGTTGCTATAGGTGTGGCACTACTAAACAAGATTATTGTGGATATGGCGGTGGCACGATGGCGGCTGCTGGTGGTTATCTATACGATGGAAGTGGCCTCCCGGGATGGAAATCTGGTGACTGGATTTGCACTAGGTTAGTTAGTTTAGTTCACATTTACCGGATAATTTAAAACATAAGATCATGAAAATAGAAAAATATTGTTTCTAACACAACACTACTAATACTAATCAAAACAATAAAATTACAAACATACTATTCAAAACATACCCTCATGAATAGTAACAACCATCATAACAATAAAATAAAATAAAAAAACACCTGGATCTCTTTGGGTGTATTTTGGTTCTCTGTTTTTATTTTGCAGGAAACTTGTTTTCAAAAAGTATTTCAGATTTTTTTATTTTTTTATTTTTAAACAACTCATATTTTGGGAAACATAAAAAAGAAAACAATGGATGTTTTTGAACTTTTAATTCTTTTAGTTTCTGAAAACATGAAAAACAAAAAAAAAATAAAGACCACGACCAAACATGCTAACTAATATTCAAAACGGAACCTCATGAAAATAAAACTAATATAAAACACTACTACTACACAGTGTAATCAAATGTTGAATAATCACAATGTTCTTAAAAATAAAAATCAATAGATATTAATCCTCATGAATTTGTATCAATGTACCATTTCTATTTTGGTTTCTCATCTAAGATGAGTTTGCGATTTTCATATGGTCAGTCCTATATGTGGTTGGCACAACTATGCTAGCAGGATGGAATGCTTCAAATGCAGAACACCGCGGGATTAGGGTAAGCTATCTTCATTGTCTTTATCGGATAAATTTTTTTTTTTAATTGTTTCCAAACACTAATGCTGTGTTTGGTTGGGAGATTTGGGGAGGGATTTGGAAAGGGAAAAGGAAAAGGTGTGTGAAACTAGGTGAAATGTAGATATATTTTATTCACATTTCACCTAACTTTTCCCTTTCCCTTTCCAAATCCCTCCCCAAATCCTCTAACCAAACACAACGTAAATGTTCATCTTTCTAAGATTCATATATATATTTTTTTGTTTTTTCAGGTGGTGCGGTTTAAGGAAAGTGAATTAACACCTCTTCTTTTTTTCCCTTTTTTTTCTTGCCTACTTTCTCCTCATTTCCTGGTTGTGTTTAATAAGCTTTACATTTATGTTTGATGATCCATTTTCACAAGCATAGCCATGTATTTGCCCCAACTAGGGTTTCAAACTTTTATTTTATGAAGCAAATGAAAACTCTTCACTTCTTCAATAAATCTCTCTCTCTCAATATTTTTTTTGGGGGTGGTCCATGGAATGTAAAATGTAGTGGTTTCTGCAATCAAAACTGTCAACCAAAGCTGCTTAAGTCTACAAAGCAATTCAAATACACATCATGACCAATTAGGACCACCAAAACAATGTATTCAACCAATGCAATAACAAAAAGCTGTATCTATTTCGTCACCGCCTAGGTGGATGCTTCTGATTGGTTCCATGTTTGAAAAAAAAAAATCAGAAAAAACAAAAAAATCAAGAAGAGTCATATCTTGGCATGTATGCATTCACATAAAATGGCGATATGTATTGCTTCTCATCCAATTGAACAATGATAGAATATGGAGGAATTGGATATGAGATTCAAAGATTCTATATATATATTTTTCTTCTTTTTAAGTAGTTCGCTTCAAAAGACAGCCTTGTTTTGGAGCGATAAAAATCGAATCCTTTAAGCATAAAAAATCATTAATAATTTATGTAGATAAGAAGCAGATGCTCTGCTTTATGAGCTCATATGCAACGTCAAGTTCAAAGTGAAGTCAAAATCCAACTTTCTCTTTAGAACCTTTTGATTGATTCACTTACTGCTCTGCAATTCACAATCCATAAGGTTTTTTGCTCACAGAATCAGTTGTTACATTACCGTTAAAGTCCCTTTCCAAATTGGGAAAAAAATAACTCCAAGTTAGCTTAGGGTGGACTTCCTAACCCTTTTTAGGTTTGCTATATTGGTCTTGTTTGATGTAGCTTTTGGCAACCTAAGATAATCTACATGCAAAACCTTAAAGTATTCGTTCCTCTCCCAACTTCCCATGTTATTTTCATCTCATAATTTTATAAATAGAAGTTGTAGCAAATACTTTGGAACAAAGTAGTTGTTCAAAGAAGGGTCATTAACTTGATGTGCATATTGAATGCGTGATCATTAGTGGCTAGAAATGTGGTTCTTAGGATCAACCGCCTAAGCCATTTTTAGGTTTGCTACATTTGCTCCATTTGATACTAGCAAGTTAAATGTTGATAACTTAAATGTGCAAAAGTTAAAAGTATCTATTTTCTATATTATTAAGTTATTTTCAATTTATTTAAATTAGTAAAGTTGTAACATACGTCATGACACAAATTACCGAGGCCATTGGCTTGATGTGCATGTTGAATATATGCTTACTATTGGTTAAAAATGTGGTTTCCATAAAGGCATTAGTTTGTTGGCCCCTATACTCCATTGCTCAACTTTGATAGATTCTTGTTGCCTCCTATATTACTTCATATGCGTTTTTGATGTGAAGAGTTCTAATTAATGACGGAATTGCCCTTTTTTGGTGTCATAATCAAGCAAAACAATAAATTACAGAGGACATTATGTTTGTTGTAGTTTTAGATTTGAGCAGCCAAGGCCCTGGGATAAGGCAGTCTTTGCTACTGCATTAACAAAACCCTTTATGAAAGCAATCTTCATGTTAATGTAAAATGTAAATTGTAAAATGTAAACTACCACCCACCTATCACCTCCACTACCACTCACTCCACCTACCACCTCCATGTTGGGATCTGGGATCCCGCCCAAGACCTTATAGAAATTATTCCATGCAGAAAAACACACCCACACTCAAGGAGACACAATATTTAACGTGGTTCGGCCTCAATGCCTACGTCCACGGGAGAGTAGCCGGTTATCACTATAACAATGGAGATATTACAGGAAGATTACAATAGAGGAGGAGCTCACACTCTCCTCACTCACACACTCACCCGTCTCCCTCGCTCACACCGAGAGAGACGGTCTCTCCGCCTCACATTATCTCATCCTCTGACTTGCTCTGTTTCTCACTCTCTCAATTAAACTCTCACCACAACCTCCATTTATACCACTAACAGAGGGAGAGCTTGGCTGTCCATGCACATGGCCAGTCTTTCTCCACATGCATCTTCTTTCACATGGCCACACACCTTTGTTGCTGCACTCTTGCAGCACATGGAGGATGATCACCCCTCACATGGTTAAGAACACAAATCACCCCTCAACCCATGTGAGGTGATCCACAACACACATTGCTGCTAATCTTGTCACGCCCAAATTCAACATAGTTTGCATCTCTTCACTGAGACGCTGCATCCCTTGAAAGCTAGAGATAATACACCAGAGATAACAAGAGGAGGAGGAATCCTACATCCTCAACTCAACTCACACCACTCTCTGATTTGGAGAGAGCCACTGCTCCTATTCCCAACGCTTCCATGCTTCCTGTCTCGGATGTCTATACCTACTATGCTTGAACTTGCGCAACCAAGATATCCGACACCCCCTGATTGGATGTCCTCGACCCCCTGCTGGAATGCCCTTGACGTCATGCATTACCTCGCAGAGACTAGTCATTGGAGCAATAGAAAACTCGTTGTTTATCTCATCAACGTCCTCTTGCTTCTTTGCTCGGAGCTTTTTCCTCTGAACTTTCAGCCTTTGCCCTCTGCACTTCTGAACAACCTCCTGGCGTTTCCACATACGCTTGTTGTCTGTGCCTTTGCAATCCCTGATTTGCTGTCCAGATATGATGGTGACAGTAGCTCCATCTATCAAAGCATCGTCAGCTATGCAATTCCTTGCATAGTGCCCGTACCCATGGCTTCTGGTCTCCTTGCGTCGGGCTCGCCTGAGAGATCCGCATCAACTCTATCCTCCGCTGCCATGGAACTAAAGAACACCAGAAATATACTTGCCACTCCTTGGCACGCAAACCGAGGCGATGACAGATACAATAAAAATGAGATGCCTCGAAGTACGTCAACCTGCTGCTGCACACTCTTCTCGCGCCTCTGTACGACACTCTAGCGTACCCTTGCACTGTTGCACGTCTGCAATTGTACTTCTGCGCTTAGTATGCTCCTCTGCAACTATTGTTCTACATGTCCACATACCATTAGTACCTTCTCGTATACAGTAGCTCCAACAGCCACAGTATTTCCCTGAGCCTGTACTGGTTGCCAAATCATCTATCCGTCGATGAATGGTCTTCTCTTTTGATTGAACCAGATCCTCCGATCACCTCAACAACCAGGAAAGTTCCCAGGAAAGACTGGTGGGGTCACAACCGGTCCCACTTAAGAACCAGTCTCCTTAGACAGTGTCTTTTTTTTTACAGAACTTTCCTAAACCTTTGAGATAATCATGTCTGCAATCCTCTGATCGCCCCTGACCAATCCTGATCTCCCTCGATCTGCCATTTGATCAAGCCTGATCTCCCCTGGTCTTCAATGATCTATCTCAATCTGTATCTGGTTGTCCAATCTGGTCAGAATCTGCCCATTCTAACCTCTTCAGTGAATCCGCAACATTCCATAATATCCGGCAACCTTCCTTTGAGTATTGAAGATGACAAACACCCATGTTTTGACAATCTTTCCAAACCGTTCAGAATTTCACTATTCTGTCCTCGCAGTTGCGTCCGGAGCGGTCCGTTTAGCTAGAACCAACCTTCGCTGCATTTCCGGGGACCTCACTGAAAACTATCCCCGAAAACTGGGCCACTGGGCCACACCACAATTTTCTGAAAATTCTGGGCCAAATTACAATTTTCAGAAGTTCAGGGAATATTCCGTGTACCAACAGAATATTCCGTACACTGCCCCTGATGCCGTCTGCCACTTTAATCTGCCTTCCTTTTACAGAAACTCCGTCTCCAAAATCTGACCGTACGGATGTGTCCGGAATACTCCAAATAGTCGGAAACCATTATTGGATCACCAAAAACGGACTCCAAATGGCTTCGATATAGCCAAAACATTTTGTACGCCTCAGATCTGCGGCTGTACCTTCGCCGCGAAACACAGGATTCTTCCTCCTGCCTCTGGTTGACTGGTCAACACCACTGCTGACGTGGCAGACACGTGGCACAACAGTGTTGACGTGGCGCTGACATGGCTGCCACGCGTCGATGACCTGGCTGCTGACGCTGTTGCTGACGGGGCTGCCACGTGGATGACACGTGGCGGCGATTCTGACACGTTGATGCTGACGTGGCACGCGCGTGTCTGACACGCGCCTCCCCCACTCGTCTTCTTCCTTCCGCCGCGCGTGGGGCGCGTGCGTGAGACTGGGCCGACGCGCCGGCTGCTGTCACAGCGCGTGGGAGCGCGTGCAGAGACTGGAACTCACGCGCCAACTTCCAGGGGCGCGTGATGGCGCGTCCGGCGTCCGTTGGGTGTCTGTTTTATGTTTCTGGACTCCTCTCGTCGAGCCCTTGCTCCTGGTATGCTCAAAACTGGATTTCGAGCAATTTGATTTCTGGGCAGTTTCAAACAACACGCTGTTTTTGTTCCGAAACGCCACCGACGAGGCTCTGATACCACTTGTTGGGATCTGGGATCCCGCCCAAGACCTTATAGAAATTATTCCATGCAGAAAAACACACCCACACTCAAGGAGACACAATATTTAACGTGGTTCGGCCTCAATGCCTACGTCCACGGGAGAGTAGCCGGTTATCACTATAACAATGGAAATATTACAGAAAGATTACAATAGAGGAGGAGCTCACACTCTCCTCACTCACACACTCACCCGTCTCCCTCGCTCACACCGAGGGAGACGGTCTCACTTTGTCAGCTTATTTTTCTGTTTTGTTCCTCTCTCCAAACTCAAGTTGGCTAGTACCTATCCTCCTTGAGTTTGAGGGGGGCTGTTAATGTAAAATGTAAATTGTAAAATGTAAACTACCACCCACCTACCACCTCCACTACCACTCACTCCACCTACCACCTCCACTACCACTCACTCCACCTACCACCTCCTCTACCACCTACACCTACTACCATCTTCTCCTCTATATATATAGGAATTGTAATATACAGATACATCAATCAATACATCAATCAATTTATCTTACACTTCAAAGCCAGTTTTTGGCTTGATGAGAGTTTCTAGAATCCATCAAATTGTGGAATTTGAAGTCCAAAGCCAGTGGCCCAAAAGTGCCCTATGCGGGCCAGTCCACATCTGGCGTAAGATCCAATCTGTAAACT